ACAGGATTAATCCCTAATCTGCTCTGAGTTTCAAGACCAGACACAAAGATTGTTGGAATCACATGGCATAAAAAGCAGGATATCTGGGGTCTTCTTGTGAAACACAAACACACTGACATAATGGGCTAGCTCCAGGCTGGAGATGGTGAATAGCTGTGTTATATTTCGTGTTCTTCTGCAGGATCATTTTTATCACTCCTAAAGCAGCTATTGTTTCTTTTTCTTTTTCTGTAGGAGCTTCCATGTACCAGTCTTAAAAGTGAAGGTATGACTGTATGGGGGCACAGGGGACTTTCTGGAATGAAGATAATGCCCTATGTGTTCATAAAATACTGACTTATGTCTTTGTCAAAATTCAGTGAAAATTTATCCATTACATTTATAACTTTTAAAATAAAGAGGGGGGAAATCATACATTGAATTCTAATTAATAGATTTCCATTAAAAAAAAAAAAAAAAACTGAGCCAGGCGTGGTGGCACACACCTTTAATCCCAGCACTCAGGAGGCAGATGCAGGCGGATCTCTATGAGTTCGAGGCCAACCTGGTCTCCAGAGCAAGTGCCAGGATGGGCTCCAAAGCTACACAGAGAAACCCTGTCTCGAAAAACAAAAACAAAACAAAACAAAACAAAAACTGAGATAAATACATTCATGTCTACAGCTTACTTTTGAAATACTTTTAAAAAATTAATTGAAACCAGGTGTGGTGGTACATGGTATAGTCCCAGCATTCTGAGAATTTGAAGCCTGTCTTGAGTCTCTTCACATAGCAAGTTCAGACCAGCCTGCATTATATCCCTATTTAGTCGCCTATTTTGAAGTAAAAATAAGGCTGATGTCTCAGCTGGTAAAAGCCACACAAGCCTGATGACATGAGTTTAATCCTAGAACCCACATAAGCCAGATGTACTATAATTCCAGCATTCCTACTGCAAGATGGACAACAGAGACAAGAGAATGGGTCAGACACTCATGGACAGCTAGTCTGGAGTGTATCTTAAAACTACAGAAACAAGATACCTGTTGAACAAGGTGAAGAGAGAACCAACTCCCAAAAGTAGTTTTGTTCTAGTCAGGAGGACAGCAGTGTTGATGAGGATGCTTCTGAAAGTGACAACAGGAAAGTCAAATTCACACCACAGAATTAGCCATGTGAGAGCATAAATAATTTTCCATATTATTTAAACATCATCCTGTCATGTGCCAAAAATATCTACCTTACACCTTCTTAAAAATTCACTCTTCATTCAACCTTCCCCATATAACCACTATCAACTTCAGTCTCTGGATTATTATATGTGAATAGTTATATAATGTATTCTTGGTTTTATTTAGTATTTTTTTAAAGTTTGCCACTTTCATGGCTAATACTCTATTTTATCAATATATACTACATTTTATTTATCCATTTATTAGTTGATATCTATTTAGGTGATTTCTACTCTTTGGCTACTGTGAATAATGCTATTATAAAACTTAAGCACTAGTTTGTTTTTTCTTTTTTAGACGGGGTTTCCATGTTTAAGGTGGCCTCTAACTCACTCTGTAGTCAAGATGCCCTTGACTTTCTGATCTTCCCAGCTACCTCCCTAATTCTGACATTATAGGCATGTGCCATTATGCTCAGTTTTTAAAAAATTATGATTTACTTTTATTTTCTGTGCACTGGTTATTTGCTGCACGAGTGTGTGTGTGTGTGTGTGTGTGTGTGTGTGTGTGTGTGTGTGTGTTTGCAAAATCCCCCGGGAGCTAGAGCTCCAGGCAGCTGTGAGCCACCATGTAGGTGCTGGAAATTGAACCCAGGTCCTCTGGAAGAGCAGACTATGCTCCTAACCACTGAGACATCTCTCCAGTCCTGGTTTGTTTGTTTTGAGGCAGGGTTTCTCTGTGTAGCTCTGGCTTTTCTGGAACTAGCTCTGTAGACCACACTGGCTTCAAACTCAGGGATCAGCCTGTTTCTGCCTCCCAAATGCTAGGATTAAAGGTATGTGCCACCATGCCAAACTGTATGCCCAGCTTTCAAACAAGTTTTTGTTTAAATAACTTTTTTTAAGATTTATTTTATTATGTATAGTGTTCTGTCTTCACGTTTGCCTACACGCCACTATGTAGTTGCTGGGAATTGAACTCAGGACCTCTGGAAGAGCAATCAGTGTTCTTAACCACTGAGCCATCTCTCTAGCCCTGTAATAGTAATAACTGATTTTATATGCATTGGTTTTTTTGCCTGTATGTCTGTGTGAGGGTATTGGATCCTCTGGAACTGGAGTTACAGACAGTCATGAGCTGCCGTGTAGGTGCTGGGAATTGTTGTGGGATTCACTAGAAGGACAGTCAGTGATCTTAACTGCTGAGCCATCTCTCCAGCCCCTAAATAACTTTTAAACTTTTTGATTTAATTTATTTTTGAGACAGGGTCTCACTTTGTAGTCCAGGCTAGCCTTACACTTGTGCTGGTCCTCTTGTCTCAGCCTCTTGTTTCAGTGCTGTAACTGCAGGTGTAAGCCACAATAGCCAATACTGCTTTATGGTTTTTGAGAATGTATCCAGGGCAGCCCTAGGGTTCCCTATGCAACTAAAGATAACCTCCTGCCATTACCTTCTGAGTCCTAGAATTACAGATGGGCATCACCACACTTGGTATGCAAGTTCTAACCCTACCAGGGGTACACAGTGACCCAAAAAAAAAAAAAGATTATAGTTGTCATAACATTTAAAGTAGGTGGGGTTTTGATTTTCATTTCCTTAATGGGAATGTATATAACATAATGTTATAACTATATTTTGGGGGGAGGAATCATAATGATGTTATACACCTTATGTTCCTATGGCCATTTGTGTGTCTTTTGGGGGAAAAAAGATCTCTCTGAGTCATTTGAACTTTTTAAAAATTAGGAGCTGGGCATTGGTGGCCCACGCCTTTAATCCTAGCACTGCGGAGGCAGAGGCAGGCGGATCTCTGTGAGTTCAAGGCCAGCCTGGTCTCCAGAGTGAGTGCCAGGATAGGCTCCAAAGCTACACAGAGAAACCCTGTCTGGAAAAACCAAAAAAAAAAAAAAAAAATAGGTTGTTGGTCTTTCTGTTGTTGTCAATTTGTAAGATGTGTCTAGATCTTATATGCTTTTGAGATATGTGATTTGCAAATACATTTCCATTTTGTGAATTGCCATTTTTTATGGTGTCTTTCATTTTCATACACAAAGGTTTTTTTGTTTTGTTGAATCCAATGTTTTCTGCCTTTTGTGTGTGCCTTAAGTGTCCTGACCTTTTTATTTTGCTCTTTCTTTCTTTCTTTCTTTCTTTCTTTCTTTCTTTCTTTCTTCCTTTCTTTCGTTCTTTCTTTTCTTTTCTTTCTGGTGGAGATTGAACCCAGGGCTCCTCACAAAAAAGTAGAAAAGTGCTATAACACTGAGCTAACCTAGCCCTCTAGTTACTTTTGAAAGTATATATAAAACATGGAATTACACCCCATCTTTTGTTTTTTGAGTATGGTGCTAGGATCACTTGGGCCTTCAACAGGCTCCATAGGCAACCTACCACCAAGTGAATCTCTAGATCCCGTTTGAATTTTTGTTGGATCCATATGTACTCCATCTGTGTAAAATAATTGCACCTTTTCTCTACATCCTTACCCATGCCATATATTAATTTGACAGGTGTAAATAATATTTTAAAAGCATTTTCATCAGTAATTTATTTACATTATTACATTTGTGTTTCTTCAGTCTATAGTCACTCATAGGAATGTTGAATGAATGTTCACATCTTTTGTATGTTTATTTTTTTTCTTTAATTGGCTGTAACAGATGCTACATTTATGTGTGACAAGCGGTGTAACAAGAAACGATTGTGTGGACGGCATAAATGTAACGAGATATGCTGTGTGGTAAGTGGACGTAGCGTTGGTTGATGTGATCGGATTCCATTCCTCTGGAAGCCTCAGCCCTCTGGAATGTGACCCAGATTTAGAAATCAACAGGAGGGACCCCTAAACAGCAGTCAGAACTTTCAGTCCCCGTGTGTACTCAGCAGACAGGGCCTTTTTAGGCTTTTAGTGGTACCTACTGCACAAAGGGAAAGGAGGACACGGAGAAGGCCTCCAACCCCAGTCCTAAGAAACTTCACTTTTTCTTTTGGAGATTTCTTTTTATTTTTTTAGTTTTGTGTGTGTGTGTCTGTTTTGGTCAGTATGGAGTATGTATACATGAGTGTAGATACCTGCAGAAGCTAGAGGTGGGTATCAGACCGCTCTGAAACTGGAGTTACAGGCAGTTGTGAGCCACCTGACATGGGTCCTCTGCAAAAACAGCAAATATCTTAACTATTGAGCCAATTCTCCAGCTCCCAAGACAATTTTAGAATTGTCCTTTGAGGTAACTGTTGTCAAAGCATAGACTAGCATGGACTTAGCAACTTGAGCTTTGGGTTTCATATCAGAGGCCAAAATGAGTATGTTGTGTTTTGTTTGTTTTTAAATATAGGTTCTCCATACATTGCCCTAGCTGGCCTAGACCTTGCCTTGTAAACCAGGCTGGCCTTGTACTTGGGTGGATTCTCCTGCCTCTGCCTTCCTAGTGCTGAGATTACTAGTGTAAAGATAACCATGCCTGGCTGAGTATTGCATTCTTTTAAAGGCACGAGTTTCATGTATATAAAATGTTTCTGTAGAATTAATTGTAGGACCATTAGCTGGCATTGGTATTGTGTTATCTATATGTGTAATGAGATGCTGTATGATACATATAAATAAGGCAACATGTATGTATATGTACATGATTATACAAACAAGATTAAATAATAACAATAACAAGGTAGTCTAAATGTATGTTTGTATATTGTTATTCGTGTATATATGCATATAAACTGCAATGTTCCATTTTCTTTTTGAGACAGTCTTAACTATGCAGCCCTGGCTGACAGTTAAGTTAGTAAAGTACTTGCCTTACAAGCATGAGGACTTGCATTTGAACCCCAGCACACATTAGAAACACGGGGCATGCTAGAGGACCCAAGAAGGCTGAGTCTGATGAAGCAAGACTTTGCTGATACATTCCTAGACAGAGTGGTAGAGAGAGCAGCCCTTATAGGAGAAAGCCACAGGGCTGACTGTACTACCCAACGTTTTCAGATGTCTTTGCTTTTTTTTTTTTTAATTAACTTAACATCTATTGAAGAGAAATGTGCATGCTTATTCAACACTGTTTAAAAAAAAAAAAACTGCTGGCCTTGCTCACCTCTGCTGCTCCCCACGCATTGGTATTGTGTTATCTATATGTGTAATGAGATGCTGTATGATACATATAAATAAGGCAACATGTATGTATATGTACATGATTATACAAACAAGATTAAATAATAACAATAACAAGGTAGTCTAAATGTATGTTTGTATATTGTTATTCGTGTATATATGCATATAAACTGCAATGTTCCATTTTCTTTTTGAGACAGTCTTAACTATGCAGCCCTGGCTGACAGTTAAGTTAGTAAAGTACTTGCCTTACAAGCATGAGGACTTGCATTTGAACCCCAGCACACATTAGAAACACGGGGCATGCTAGAGGACCCAAGAAGGCTGAGTCTGATGAAGCAAGACTTTGCTGATACATTCCTAGACAGAGTGGTAGAGAGAGCAGCCCTTATAGGAGAAAGCCACAGGGCTGACTGTACTACCCAACGTTTTCAGATGTCTTTGCTTTTTTTTTTTTTAATTAACTTAACATCTATTGAAGAGAAATGTGCATGCTTATTCAACACTGTTTAAAAAAAAAAAAAATGCTGGGCGTGGTGACATGTGCTGATTCCCAGTACTGGGGATGGATGCGGAGGCAGGAGAATCCTTGGAGCTGGAGAGCTATTCTAGCGTATTGATGAACCCCAGGTTAATGAGAGACCTTATCTCAAAGGAGGTGAGAGTGTTCTGAGAGTGACACCTGAAGCTGGCCTCTGGCCTCCACAGATTCCCGCACACATGTACCTAACACACATATATGAAAACCTTTGTCTTGACAAAATGAAGAGTGATGGTATCATGTTTTATACCAAGGTTGATAAGTCAATGGCTGGAAGCCTAAAGACTTCTCTGATTATCAGAGAGTTGAGACAAAAGCAAAAAGACAAAGTTGAGTGACACAGTGAGGTTCATCTACACAGTACCCAGCTACAATAAGTGTCTTCCTCATGGCTAAGCTTCTGTCATTCCTCTCTTCCCCTCTTCCCTTCCTTCCTTGATGCTTTTGAAACCCTTCCCACACACCCTTCCATTCATTAATGTGTGGAGCTTTGCTTTTATTTTGTTTGTAAAATGGAGAAAAAATCATGAACAAACAGAAATCTCTCCTCTTAGGACAAGGAGCATAAGTGTCCTTTGATTTGTGGGAGGAAACTCCGTTGTGGCCTTCATCGCTGTGAAGAACCTTGTCATCGAGGGAACTGTCAGACCTGCTGGCAAGCCAGTGAGTACCTTCGCTGTATACTTAAAGTTTCTGGAGCTGGTCCGTAGAACCACATGTCTTTATTTTCAGTCCTTGGAGGCCGAGGCAGGCAGATCTCATCAGTTTGAAGCTAGCTTGGTCCACATAGGACTACATGTAGCTAGAGCTACATAGAGAAACCCTCTCTCAAAAACAAAATTTCCTGGCATATTTTGAGCAATTGATTTGCTTAAATTGATAAAGAGTTTTTAAACCTGAACCTTATTATTTCAAACATGTCGAGACTTTTTAGTTATTCTTAGCCAAACATGGTAGTACATCCTATAATGACAGTACATGGTACAGCAAGGCAGAGGCGTGTGTGTGTTAGTGTGTGTTATTATATGCATGTATGTCCCAAACTCAGGAAGGCTTGTTTTACCTGTTTCCTCAGGTTTTGATGAATTAACCTGCCACTGTGCCGCCTCTGTGATCTACCCACCAGTTCCCTGTGGGACTAGGCCTCCTGAGTGTACCCAAACCTGTGCTAGAACCCATGAGTGTGACCATCCAGGTGAGTCGCATCGTCCCTGAGGTTTAGAATGTGGCTGTGTAGCTATGCAGAATACTCTGGCCATGCTGGGCTGGCTGCCGTTGCTCCCTCTTCTCTCAAGATCTATCTTATATCTATGACTCAACACCATGCTCCTTTTTCAGTCCCATAGCTGTCAAGAACATCCCAAAGTTTGGAAGAAACCCTAGTTTGTTGTCTTTCAGAGACTTCTTTTCCTTTGTTGCCTCTACTTTTAATACATATTAATGTTCTTTTTTACAGAACTAAAAATAATTTAGTTAAAGCCAGTCAGCTAACTCAGCAGGTAAAGGTGCTTACTCCCAAGCTGGTGACCTGAGTTTGATTCCCTGATCCCTGTATTGGAGAGAACCAACTCCTGAAAGTTGTCCTCTGATCTTCATGTACATGTCATGTACACACACACACACACACACACACACACACACAGAGCAAATAAATACGTAAATATAATTTAAAGAATCTTAAATTTGGTCTTTGTTAAAGAAGCAATATGTTTATTAGGTAAAATTAAATTATAAAAAAATTAAGTCTAAGCTGGGCGTTGGGAGGCAGAGACAGGTGGATCTCTGTGAGTTCGAAGCCAGCCTGGTCTACAGAGTGAGTTCCAGGACAGGCTCCAAAGCAATACAGAGAAATTCTGCCTCGAAAAACCAAAAAAAAAAAAAAAAAAAAAAAAAAAAAAAAAAAATTAAGTCAGGCTTGAGAGATGGCTCAGCAATTAAGAGCATTGGCTGTTCTTCCAGAGGACCCAGGTTTAATTCCCAGCACATGCACACATGGCAGCTCACAACTGTCTGCAACTCCAGTTCCAGGGAATCTGGCACCCTCAACACAGATGTACATGTAGGCAAAACATCACATGAAAATAAATTAATTTAAAAAAATTTTAAATCAAGGGGCTGGAGAGATGGCTCAGGGGTTAAGAGCACTGGCTGCTCTTTCAAAGGACCTGTGTTCAATTCCCAGCAACCACATGGTGACTCACAACCATCTGATGTCCTCTTTTGGCATAAAGTCATACATGCAACTAGACCACTCATACATAAAATAAATAAGTTTTTAAAAGTTTTATTTTATTTTTAATTGTGTGTGTGTGTGTGTGTGTGTGTGTATGAATGCAGAGGCCAGAGTGGGTGTCAGATCCCCTTTAAGTCTTACTGAATGTAATGATTTTAAATTTGCTTTTATGTGTGTATGTTTTTGTTTTTTTGTGGTTGTTGCTTTTAGTTTTTTGAGATAGGGTTTCTCTGTATAGCCCCGGCTATCCTGAAACTCAATCTGTAGACCAGGCTAGCCTCGAACTTACAAAGATCCACCAGCCTCTGCCTCCTGAGTGCTGTGGTTAAAGACGTGCACCACCACTACCCAGCTAGACTTTTAAACTTTATTTTTATGTGTGCATGTTTTGCCTTTGTATATGTCTGTCTTTATTTAGACCAGAACCTCTGGAACTGGAATCACAATTGATTGTAAGCTGCCATGTAGATGTTGGGAATCAACAGCATCGATTTTTTTTTTTTTTTAAAGATTCATTTATTTATTATGTATACAGTGTTCTGCCTGCAGGCCAGAAGAGGACACCAGATCTCTTTATAGATGGTTGTGAGCCACCATGCGGTTGCTGGGATTAAACTCAGGACCTCTGTGTTCTTAATCCCTGAGCCATCTCTCCATCCCAACAACATTGGTTTTTAAAATAGCAGTTACATCAGTGGTTCTCAACCTCTTCCTAATACAGTTCCTCACCATGGTTGGTGACCCCCAACCATAAAATTACTTCATTTATGACTTCATAACTGTAATTTTGCTACTGTTATGAATCATAATATAAATATCTGTTTTCTGATGGTCTCAGGTAAGCCCTCTGAAAGGATTGGTTGACCCCCAAGGGTCACAACCCATAGTTTGAGAACTTCTGTGTTACATGGATAGGCCACTGTTTTTTTAGTTCCACTTGATGTTGCTGGATATTTAAGTGGTTTTCAGTTTTTCTCTGATAACATTCCTATTGATGCCAGACCAAAAACCACTTGCCATCACATCATATGTTCCCCGTCTACTAAGCCTAGGTACTGACTGTTTTCCTAGATCATACTAGATACTGCAGTGTGACAGGACTTTTCCGGGGGAGATACAAGACATAAGTCCACTCCCCTAGATAGGAAACCCACAACAGACCAAAGTACAGGTACCACTAATGTCCAGCTTGGTGAACCAGCGAGTTTTATTGATGTTACTTACAGGAATATGGATGAGGGGTTACTTACAGGAACAGAAATGACTCAATGACAGCTGGATCAACATAGCACACTTCAGCACAGGTGACAGCTCACAAAAGCTGGGAACCTGGAGACTCTGCATAACCTTCAGGAAACTCAATATATCAGAAAGCGTCCTTTCCAGGTGCCTCAATTGGTCTAAGCTTCCTCCAGGCAGCAAGTGTGGTCTCAGGGTGTTCTTTGCAATTTGGCTTTTCTGAGAGTGACTCTCTGCTGGCTTTATTGTTTACTCTGAGAAGGAGAGAGGGACCAAGGGGACTAGTGAACATGGTCAGTTTCAGACACTTCCTGAAACTATTCTGAGTAAGTTTATCCCAGCTTGTGGAGTTTCACTCTTGAGGGGAATGTTTCAGTCTCAGCAGAAACTGATACACAACAGGTGCATTGTTTCATTTACCAAGCCCCTAAGAAATAACTCTAGATAGCAGATCTGATACCTACCCTAAGGCTAGCCATGTGATTTGAACTTAAATTAGATGACCGTCTCTCAGTTTTTTAAGTGAATATAGTAAAAACAGAAGTAAGCAAATTTGTCATGAAGTAGAAAACCCTTCCTTGGGAAACTTAGAATGGCATGGTTTGTAAATTCTTTTCTTGCTAGTCATACCAGCATAAGGTGTCCAGCCCAGTTCCCACCCAGCTCCTCTTTTCCACCAGCTTGCAAGAATTACAGGTGGTGTTCAAATCCTTAGTAAGAACTTTAAAACTTATAAATTGTGGTGTTTTGACCTGTTTTATTTAGCATTGGTTTTCATTTTCTTGAGTGTCTTTTGAGTATCCAGCATGATGTCATTCAGAAGGAACTTGAGAAAATGCAAAAAAAAATCTTCCATTACT